AGATTACAAAAATAACAAAGGCTAGGGCTGTTTGCCTTAACTAAACATTAATGATTCATAGTTACCACGTCAGGAGTATTCCTCAGTCCAAGATAGTCCCGGTACCAAGGGATTTTGAAGGGAAATCCCATTTTTGCACACCATGTGCTCCAAGTCACAAAGCAACTCTTTGTCTCTCAAGAGGCAGCATTTTCAGGTGCAATAAAACAAACTGACAGAGGAGGAAAGGAGAGCTAAACAAGTGACTCACTCCCCTAGGGATCAAAACAATTATACCCCAATTCCAGTCACAAATTAGTGGGCATGGGTGTGCCCAATTGTTGGTTGCCATGGTTGCTAACATCAGGTTTGTGGGATTGGCTGGAAGTTTGGAGACTCTGCCTGCAGTCAGCTGACCCAAACTCCAGCTACTTCATGGTCTATGTGACTAGTCGCATGTGGGCCAGAAAGTGGAGTTATGAGGTCTGGTGTTTGGCATGAAAGTGTGAAAGAATGTGGGTTTGTGGCATGGCTATTGAGGCCATGTGGCCCCCACCATTTGGCTTGCAACAGGAAACAAGACACAGCATGTTATCAAAAGACATCACTGGAGAAGGCATGTGGATATAGAAAGCAGAAAGCAATTTTTCTATACAGTGCCTTTGGTTCTTGTTAAGGTTTTAAAGGTCTGTGGGGGGGGTTTGGCTTGGTCTTTTTTGGGGGGGTCTGCTTGGGGTCTAGGTCTTTCTTTGTAGGTGTGTCTAGTTCTTGTCAAGGTTTTTAAGGTCTGTGGGGTTTTTTGGCTTGTTGGTCTTCTTTCTTGGTTTTTTTTAGGAGGGTTTTGCTTGTTTTAAGGTCTGTCTGTGTCTTTCATGGCTAGGCCTCCTGGTTTTTTTGGGGGGGGTTAGGGTTCTGCTTGGGGGGGACTGTTGCCTTTTCTGTTCTGCCTTTTAGCAGGTTTTGTTTGGGCTTTCTTAGGCGTAGGGGAGGACTATGCTCTCTCTGTGTGCTTCTGGTTTAGCTGTGTGTTGTGTTAAATAGGCTTTTAAAAAGGATACAGGTTTATTTTTAACAAATATTCTAAATCTCAATATAGGGCTTTAGCTGTTCTACCTAACTAGGCCAGTGGTAGGAGAACAAACAGAGGCAGGTTTGTCCTCACATAAAAGAAAGGTTTAAGTAGCATTTAATAATTTAAAAAGTAGTGAGCTTAGCTGTGCTGTTTGTGCTCTGACTGACCTTTGGTGAAGCCAGGCACTTTCCCCCCCTCTTAGATTGTTTTTCAATTAGGGAGCTTTTCCTGATTCCACAAGGGAATCAGGTGGTTCCAGTAGAATCTAGA